GGGCAAGTGTTTTTGTTGTCGCAGTTACAGTTGTCAGTTTCCATGTTCTATTCGTACAACTGTAACTGCGACAACAAAAACACTTGCCCACTACCGAAACAATGTATGACCAACAACATTATTTACAAAGCCACAGTCACAACGAACAATACGAACGACACTAAACACTACATTGGTATGACAGCGACTACATTTAAGGAACGTTACGCTAACCACACTTCATCTTTTCGTCATAAAAAGACTCAAACAAAACGGAACTTTCGAAACATATTTGGAAATTAAAAGAAAACAATCAGGATTATACCATCAAATGGTCAATTTTAAAACACACTATTTCGTACACAGGGGGATCAAAACGCTGCAATTTATGTTTGGAAGAAAAATTTTGCATTTTGAAAGACATAAACAAAGACAATTTACTCAATAAAAGACGCGAAATTTTCGGCAAATGTCGTCACAAAAACCGGTTTCGAGTAAACAAGGTCGTTAACAAAACCTAATGACCCAAGCATGCATTGTTTCACCTAAGCAGTGTTTCGCCTACACGCATTCCGCACATTCTTTCGATAGCATAAAAGCAACCTACAATTTCGAAATTATTCACCACCTGATGATTCCTATACGGATGAAACAGACTGTTGTGGTTATTTGAGGTAAAACGAAAAACTATATATATATATATATATATATATATATATATATATATATATATATATATATATATATATATATATATATATATATATATATATATATATATATATATATATATATATATATATATATATATATATATATATGTATACATATATATATATATATATATATATATATATATATATATATATATATATATATATATATATATATATATATATATATATATATATATATATATATATATATATATATATATATATATAACAAAAACAAGACAACAGACAACAAAAACAAAAACAGACAACGGCACAACAAAAACAGACAACGGCACTTTAACAACAAAAACAAAAACAGACAACGGCAAAAACAACAAAAACAGACAACGGCACTTTAACCACACAAGTTTATCGCAAGAAAACACACACTGATCAAATTTTAAATTACAATAGCAATCACCCAATACAACACAAAGTCAGTTGTATAAAGACTCTATTCAACAGAATTGACACACATTGTAACACTGATCAATCCAAACAAGACGAACGCAAGTATTTATACTCTACTTTTTACAAAAATGACTACCCTTTAGACTTCTTTAATAAGGTGCTACAACATAAACAACAAACTAACACGGACCGACTTAACCAAACAAAAACGAGGATTACACTTCCTCACATACACACTACATCAGAAATGGCAGCTAGACTTCTCCGACCTTATATATATATATATATATATGTATATGTATATGTATATGTATATGTATATGTATATGTATATGTATATGTGTATATATATATATATATATATATATATATATATATATATATATATATATATATATATATATATATATATAAATATATAAATATATATATATATATATATATATATATAACTTAACTCTAACATAATGAGTCTACGGGCTACCCTAAATATTCGTTATGAAGTTTTTTATTGTCTGGTATGATTTGCAGGTAGATGATAACGGAGGTTGTACAAAGGTTGTTTTGGCAGAAGACAAAGATGGTGTTGACATCCACCCTTTCACGCGTTGGGTCCTCCGCAGTAAGCCTGTTCAGTCTGTGACTGTTCGTTTGTTTATGACTGTTTACGGAGAATATCCTGAGCAAAAGAGTTTTAATATAAACGTTTCTTGTATCGGATGCGGATCTGCATCGATACGTGAGTTGCCCGATGATCCTGGAGTTTTTGAATTTGAAACGACCACTAAAGACCCAAACCACGCTCGACTATCCATAGATGGACAGGTTTATTTTTACCAATATTACTTAGAAGGCAGAACCGCTGGCAGCGACCATGATTCAGCAATTGTGATACTTGTCTGGGACGAATTTCAAGTTCCAACTCAGCCCAACTGGATCAGACATGTAAAACCGATTTTCCAACAGTATGCAAATTTGTACCCGGTGATGAAAATTAACTTCCTGGACCTTTCAAATTATTACGAAGTTGTTGAAAACAAGTACGCACTCATAAAGACCATGTCGCTTGACGAGGAAGATCCGCGTTATATGCCTGTCACAAGAGATTTGTCTCCTGGTAAAGTTCAGATGATCTTAAAGTGGCTAATGGATGATAATCCCAGATATGGATTTTCAAACCTCGGAATAGGGGAATACACCTTAAAATACCTTTTACAGACAGCACTGCAGTTGGAACACTCAACAATTCCACCATATTTGACAGGTTACCTTTCAATTAAAAAGGGTTATAATACCCAGGTGAAAAGCATATTGAAAGGTATTTTAATTGATGAAATGCACCACTTGGCTCAAGTGTCTAACATATTGAATGCAATTGATGGAAACCCTAATTTGTTTGCCTCACATTTCGTCCCGTCATATCCCAGCTATCTGCCAGGTGGAGTTCATCCGGATGTCAAAATCACTGTAAACAAAATATCAATGCTTCAAATTCGTAATGTGTATATGGTTCTGGAGACCCCATCTAAAGAACTCGAAGAAAATGGATTAATGAAGGCGGTTGACAAGATTGTTAAGGATAAATTAAAACCAGTATCTGTCTCTACCTCCGCTGATACTGACGCATGCGATGATGTTTTAACATTGTACAATGACGCTGTAAAGAGGAATGAGGATATTCGAACAAACCATAATACAATTGGTCAATTGTATACCGCAATCCTGATCGTGATGGCAAAGCTTGAATGTGATGGTGAATTAAAATTCTATGACACGAAGCATCAGCTTGAAGTTCGAGGGGAAGGAGGAAAGGAGGTGACAAAAGTTTATGACTTTGGAACCGCCGTGCAAGCTATAAAGAACATCATGAAAGAGGGTGAAGGATCTTCACCGTGCAATCCGTTGGATGATAGCTCAGGCTTATCTCATTACTACCAATTTGCATCAATAGCAAACGGACGTCATTTAAAAACGATAACAAATTATAGCAAGGTTAGTTCAAGGATTCAAATCCCGTTAGCAGACCGTGAATTTTTATTAAGATGATCTTATATTGTCAATGTAAAAAAACAACTGGTAGCGCTATAAAGCTGCCTTTTTTAGTGCATTAACCTTGAAAAAATATTTAAACGTGGCAATATTATGCAGAGTTGGCATAGTATTCTACAGAAAGCTGTAGTAGTTTGTCCTTCGCAGATCAACTTTTGATTTTACGGAAACACTCCCCCCCCCCTCCCCCTCCGAGAAAACATTCTAGTTCCGGTCTTTATAGCGAAATACATGCCTGCGCATTTGTCAGTAATTATAATTCATGCACGAGTTGCGCACAAATTGGTATTTCAGAGAGCTACTTGATAAAATGGTGGCACGTGTCAGAGTTATGGGCATATGAAGCGAAAAATACGTTATAAATTCTAATTATAGTGCTATTGGAAAGAAATTTGAACATTATAATTCATTGTACTTTCACAGTATGTCGTTTACGCGTTCTGAACACTTTACACCTCTGTGTACAGCTATACTTAAAACACTTTATTTCAACCTTGTTCTTTTGTTCAGCTAACGGTATCTAAAAATTATTATACAATTTACTGTAAAAGGTACCTATTACATGATTCAACACGGTAGAAAATTTCAACTTACTTGACTAAATGTGACGAATAGATCGTTACCAGTTTCTCCATGATTATTATTATTATTATTATTATTATTATTAAAACTTTATTTAAAGAAGGTTAATTTACAAGGAAATATGCCAGTTTAGCTTTCGCTAATCTTCCACTGGACCTTCTAAAGTTAACTATATAATCGAATATATTTACATGCAGTACAATTTACATTTCTACAGACTACAGTATACATAATTACATAAAGTACATATCGATATAGGTATAAAAAATTGGAATTAACATATACACTGTACATCTTATGAGTTATTTTTATACATATCCAAAAACAATTCATGGGCTTTACGCTTGAATGCTTGAAATGAGCTGGAAGATCTAATATCTGATGGCAACATATTATAAAAAATATGCTCCAGTGTACCGAAGTCCACTCCTGGTGATTGATAGTTTATAGTTTGGTATCCATAAGTTCATATTGGCAGTGCTTCTTGTATGTCGCTGGGAAATTGTTGACAATGGTTTAAACATATGATGGAATTTTGTTGTTGCAGAATTTTCAATCTTTACGTGCTTCGCGAATCATCTCTACTTTTGAGGCATCCCTTGGTTGCTCTTCAGGTAATTAACGAGTGGTCTTTTCTAAATCAATATTCCATGCACTACTTTCAAGTAATTCTGTTTCTGCTTGAGCGAAAACTTGTTCTTAAAGCCCGCCGCACACGAGCGCACTTGTCGCGCGCACTTGTTATTCGTGACAAGTTGGATCGAGGAAATTTTGTCGATCCAACTTGTCACGAATAACAAGTACGCGTGACAAGTGCGCTCGTGTGCGGCGGGCTTTAGCTTTCGCTTTAGCGAGCTTTGTTCCCAAGTTTAATTCTTCCATTTTAAATGATTACTTCATTTTTTTCTTCTTTTAACTTCAAATCCTTCTGCAGCAAAGCTTGTTAATTTTTATTTGAGTGCATGCCTTTACCTAATTACCTCCGCGTTAATCTCTGCCATTCTGGCCATTTCTTTAGCTCGAGCAGCTGAGATGGAACTTCTTTTTGACGACACTTGACTCAATCTTGAGCTTTTCTTAGATAAACTCGTTACTTTAGTCAATTGTGACGCGCTGTCGCTTGGCTGAACTTCTTGTTGAATCTCCGCTTCGACTTTAATTATAACCACGCTTTTAATCTGTTTTCAAAGACACCCACGCATTGAATTGTCTCGCTAAAATCACGTGAATTGCTTACGAATTAATATATTTCTCAAACAGATCAGTTAAAACAGCAGCTTCAGATTGAACTTGAAGGAAATTATCCACATTTTTCATAAGCCTTTCGATCTCGTTACGCTTTGCGGTCACGGCTGCTAAAGCTCCTGATTTCTGTCTATTTAGGCTTATCAATCTTTCTCGAAGCACACCATCGCTGTCAATCGATCGTAGTATTCACTCTTCGAAATCGAAAACTTCTTCGTATGGGTAGTATGGGTTCTCTGAGAGGTTCTCGCAAAAACTCTGACTCTATATCTGCTTCTACAAGACAGAATCACCTACAGTACCGCTCAGAATTAACCTAACACTGTGGTTGCGGTCGTTTTGCGGTTAGCCTGCGGTTAACGTGCGGTTATCGGGCGGGTTTTTTTCGGTTTAGCCCACGCATCGGCAAAAAGCTAACCGCGGTTTTAATATGCATTCTGATTCCGAGGTTTTCCGACCAAAAGCAGTAAGTTATTCACGGTATAGAATGTCTTCACTAATAAAATGCTAACTCGGGCAATAATAAAACAGCTAAGAGAAAGCTTAAAGGCTGTGGTGTCAGCCTAATCCCTCGGTTGAACGCACACTCATTGATCATTCGACAATATTTGCTCGACTTAACTTCGCTTATACTTAAATAAATCGAACTTGTAAGCACTTGAACTTCATTTCCTATTTGACTAGAGATTTAGTCAAATACGTCGCATAAATACTTTCTGCACATACGTCGTTTACGCGTTCTGAACGCTTTAAACCTCTGTATATACAGCTATACTTAAAACACTTTATTTAAACCTGGTTCTTTTGTTCAGCTAACGGTATAAAAAAATTATAGTTATATATACAATTACTGTAAAAGGTACCTATTACAATTATGATTCAACACAGTAGAAAATGTCAACTTACTTGACTAAATGTGACGAATAGTTCAAGACCAGTATATCCTTATGATATCTTAGTGTTCACATTATAGTATATCCTTTTGATATCTCAGTGTAGCTTTTTATATAAACGACGAATTAACAAAACTCCGCCTTAGCACGGCTTGCATTTTTATACCTGGTCAAGCGTGCACTTATGAGGAATGTTTATGAGTGCAATGGTAAGAATATTTTCATGAGGTGAACGATGGAATGTTCCATTCAACGAGGCGACAGCCGAGTTGAATGGAACGTTCCATCTTTCACCGAATGAAAATATTCTTACCATTGCACGAATAAAATAATTCATTATTTGTTTTATATAATACCAAATTAGACTAATATTAAATGGTTTACTGTAAGCTCCCGCCATTTTGACGAGTCGTATTTGCATTAAATTTCATTTACTGAGTTTCGAATATCGGGTTAAAATAAACTGCGCGGTCACCGTACGAGAAGCATTTTGACGGATGCGATTTATCGAAAACACAAAGAATGGAATGGAATAAAACGTATAGTACAATTGCACTCGAAAAGAGTGCAATGGAAGTATTCCATTGCACTTTTGCATGGAAATGGAATTTTCTATTCAATATCACGTTACCATAAACAGCCAATAGTAATTTTAGCAATGAACTTAGAGCCCAAGTAAATTGTAGTCTCTCAATGGTTAACAAATCCGAACCATTTAGCAAAAGGGATAATGCCTACACAGCTAGTGGATTGCTAAGCCATAACAGTAACCCTGCATGTTTATATTGTAATGAAGAAGGCCATTTTGCGTCTAAGTGCATTAATATAACAAATCACCAATCTAGGAAGGCCATTTTGCGTAGAAATAGGAGATGTTTTATTTGTCTAGATACAGGGCATGCATGTTGCTAAGCATTGTAAATCGGGTTATGTATGCAAACGATGTAAGAAGGGAAAGCATCACATCCAATCTGAATTCCCTCAGTCAAAGGTATTGTGCGGGGAAAGCGAGCAGTGAGAATATATTACAGTTTATACACCTCGGCCAGCTTCAGTAACGCCACAGAATAGAAAATAAGACCAGAAGCCTCACTCAGCCAAAATTATGTCCGAGATTTTTTATGCGCAGGCGCGAGCCAGCAAGTGTAATCCACGCCATCAAACGCGAGCAATTACGCCATCAATTGCCATTACCAGGTAATAAAGATTGCTGTTTTAACCGTTTTGCTGACGAACGCTGACGTGATGTTCGCAGCAAGTGTCACACACGTCATCTAGCGTGCGAAATTCGTGATCCGCAAGGCGAAAATCGCGGACACGAAAATGTTAAGGAAAGGTGTACAGTGAGACTTCTGGTCGATTATATATTCTATGGTAACGCTACGAGCATCGTAACAAGTGACGTCAACGCAACAGCCAGTTTATACACCTCGGCCAGCTTCAGCTACGATACGAGCATCGCAACAAGTAACGTCAACGCAACAGCCAGTTTATACACCTCGGCCAGCTTCAGCAACGCTACGAGCATCGCAGCAGGTCCCATTACCTACCGCTGTAAATCCTCTAGTAGGAATATTTGTTCTTAGTATTTTGCAGTGTTGTCCTCCTTTGGTTCGCACCTGCTTTGGGTGTTCCCAATCGTTAAAACTCGGCGGGATTATTGCGAGTCTACCGTATGATTTGACGATTATTACACGTATGAATAGAGGCCAGGTTTTCGACCTAATACTCCTGATGGACAGTTGATGTTCAAAGAACAAAATGTATATTTCCATGTACATTTGAGTTGCTTCAAGATGAAGCAGTCATATTTTAACCCTGCATGCGTAACTGTACCAAATTGGCTGCCACATTATTTAACACCAGGCCATGTGCGCCTTTTACGAGAGTTTGGTGCTCAAATTTGACGTGGCATGATGTCGATATTGTTTTGTTTTTTAGTTTGTTCAGTCATAACGCCATAACCTCGAAGGTAGCGCCCTTCAGTTTGTATTTGGTATCGCTAAAAGTTTGCATGCACGTATGAACCTCCAGGAATTCGAAATTTCCATCTTTGGGCGTTGTTTCCTGTCATAAGGCCTGTTTACACTTGCAATTTTTGCTGCGATTTCTAGTGCGATTTTTTCTGCTGACGTGATGGCGACATGAAATCGCCAGTGTAAACACCCTGCGATTTAACTGCAAGTCCAGTGCAACTTCACTGCGACAAGCTGCAAATATTTCGATCATGATCAAAATTTATCGCAACTCGCTGCGATTTTTCAAAAGATGTGAATAAAATACGACTGTGCTACCCCTCAACGGCAGGCGTTGTCACCTTCCATAAAGGTGTTTATCAAAGCCAAGCATTGGCAAGCAACATAAACTTATAAATATTTACAATTCTTCACTTTCACGCTGTTTTTAAAAGCAATATTGCACAGGTAAATCTACTATATAAATGCAGTTAACTAACAATAACATATGAAACTAGAGGGCACTCAGAGACTGCATACCTCCGCCCGTTACTCGGAAGTGAAACGCAACCTTGGAATTTCCTAAGAAATCCACTTTATAATTCTTAAGCATAAAAGATTTCAGGCCCCCGCGAATTGAAATCGAATTGCTAATAGAACATATTACTGTTGTTGTACTGTACAGTACTTGTAAAATAAAAACTTATTAAGTGTCATTAAATAAATGCATAAATTTTGCTTTATGCACTCGCGCGTGCAGTAATTTTCACAGTTGTGCTATTTTAAATTCCCAGGCAGCTAAAATCTTTTGTCTTTAAAACAATGTCGATTTCTTGGGAAATTCCGAGGTTGCGTTCTTTTTATACACCCTGCATTGAAGTAATCTAATGTTGTTAGAATTTGAATGGACTGGCACTTTGCTGAACGTAATAATGCGTAACTCCGTAAGCCTTGTTTTAGACATTGAATTTTGGTCGCGTGAAATGCAACTAAGACAATAGATAATGAAGGCCGAAGCTTAATGAGGTTTATCATCTCATTATTGTCTTAGCACTGAGTGCATAAATTATACACGTCCTAATTACGCATTCAGTAATATATTTTGTTAATTGACCGGGAAAAGCAAGACAAAATTTTGTTCATTTCTCGTTCAATTTTTAACCAAATTCAACCAAATTTTAATCAGTTCTTCCTTAGCCGATGGGAAGTGCATTCAAAAAATTTCGTACGGATATGTTTGGTATTTCTTGAGTTATCGTGCTCACAGACAAACACACACACATACACACACACACACATACACACACACATACACACACACATACACACACACATACACACACACATACACACACACATACACACACACACATACACACACACACACACACATACAAACCCAGATGATTACATAACCTCCTGGCGGAGGTAATAAAAAA